CTCGTACCCTCTGTAACTCCTCCATTGACTTCTATGAGTGTTGTCACTGACTCTAGCTAACTGGCATACACGATCCTGCTCCGTGTCCATTCGTCTCTCAGCTCCTAACGCTCCCTCGCATCTGCCTCTGTTGTCTGAATGTTGAGATTCTCAGTGTACGTTCTTCCTTGTTGCGATATTTCAGCGTTTTGACTGTGCCAAACCTACATGCATCTGCTCTCATCTGTCGGCAGCTCTCAGTCTGCTGTGCCTCTCAACAGTGATTGCTTTCGACATTTGTCAGCTCTCTCTGTTTCTTCGTCTCGCGTTGATCTTGCCTCTCTTTTCTGCCCCACTCTTTCACTTTGTTAGAGAGTGGATAAGCGGTGACACACACACACACACACATACACACACACACACACACACACACACACACACACACACACACACACACACACGCACACCAGTACACACACACACACACACACACACACACACACACACACACACACACACACAATAGTACACACACCTTGGAGTTGGATGACTGTTGTGACGGGCCCTTGCTGCTCCTTCGAAGGGATGCTCACACGGACACCATATTGTTGCTGAATGCCTTGCAGCGTGGCACCTTTCTAACAACTCATGCAAGCAGCGTTGTGGGCGCGCGAGAGACAAAGTGAGTAGTTGGCCAGCATACTTGAAACATGTTCCCACTCTGCACAGCAAACACAGCAACGTTCACCACCCATTTCAACAACCCACCCCATACCACACCACACCACGCAAATGATCGCCCTCCTCATCTCTAACTCGCACCCTGCTCACATAACCCTCATTGCTGGCCTCACCGTGCCAATGATTCGGCCAATCTGGCTCGTGGGCACCTCCATTGACGCCATCGTGGTGGTGGTGTGGGGTGTGTTGTGCGCGTTGTGTGTGTGTGTGTGTGTGCAGTGTCGGTGCGTGAAAGCAGCAGGCAGCAGGCAGCAGCAGCGCAAGTTGCCCTGGTTTTCTCTCCCAACAGCACAAACAGTAGCAAAACGGGCTAAGAATAAAAAAAAAATTCCTGCGCTTGCTCGTTGTCTTGCTTGTGTGTGTGTGTGTGTCGTCTTTGTTTGTGCGCTGCTGTCCTCTTGCCAGCCAGCCAACACTCTCCCGCACCAACAGCACAGAACACATCCGCACAGTCTTGGTTTGGTGTTGTTGTTGTTGTTGTTGTTGAGACCCAACGAACGTCGCTCAGCCGCACACACACGCACACACACTTACACGGCAGAGTTGCCCGAGCTCTGCTCCCACACATCACGTTACAGCGCACCGCGTCACGCACACTGAAGCGGCCCACGCGCGCACACACACATTGCATTAGCACACAACAAGTTGATCGTTTTGGGTTGCGCGTTTGTATTTGTTTGTACCGGCACCATCGCAAGGTACGACGACAACGCGCATGTCTCTCCGGCTTTGATTGTTGCGTGGGTGGGCGCGCAATCGTGGATGTTGTCGCTCTTTGTCTCTGTGTCACCTGCGGAAGCGTATGTGTGTGTGTGTGTTGATGTGTCGTGTGCGTTGTGCTTGTGGGGAACAGTTGTGTCTTGTTCTCTCAATGTGTGTGCGCCGTAGATGTCTCTGTTGTCTTTGTTGGCTGCCTTTGTGGAAGTGAACCCGTCTGTTCGTATTCCGTACCAGCACGCTTCTTTATTCCACTGTGTTGTTCCTGCATGTCCGCTTTCCGTGTGGTGACTCTCCTGTCTTCTGTCTTGTCCGTGTTGGTTTGTCTGGCTTTACAACATGTGCACGCCCCTCCAACCTTCCGATTACGTTGCAACCTCACGACTTTACAACTGCGTGCCCTTGTTGCTGCCTCTCTTGCCTCTCTTCATGTGTGTTTGCGCCTCAGAATGCCGCTGGCACACGGGGATCAGTTTCAATTCCAGGCAGATCCTGCCCAAGCCATTGTCCTGGAAGGCGAGGATGCTCGCACCATGCAGACAGAAGAGGTGTGTGTGCACGTGCATGCTGTGTGTGCATATGCATACTGTGCGCGCGCGCATGTATGCTGTGTGCGTGTGTGTGCGCGCATGTATGCTGTATGTATGCGTGTGTGTGTGTGTGTGTGTGTGTGTGTGCGTCTGTGTTGTTTCTTTGCTTGAGCTTCCGTCACTCATCCCATCACATCAACATTCACTCCTTCCCCCTCGCCCCTACTCTCACCAACACTTTATGTGTGTAGGACATGCCTGACCCAGCGGGCCCCGAGGGGCAGGAGGGCCACGAGTTTGAGATCACCGACATCAACCTCGAGTCTGGCGACCATGTCGACGGCTCCCACTTTGACCTCCTCCGTGTCCTCGGACAAGGCTCCTTTGGCAAGGTGCGTTTGCATGCGTGTATGTGTGTGCGTGTGTGTGTGCGTGCGTGTGTGCGTGTGTGTATGCATGCATGCGTGTTCCGTCTGCTCTTTTATAGACACACACACACACGCACGCACGCGATCACGCGACGTTCCCACGCTCCATCATTGCCGTCATTGCTGTTGCATCAGGTGTTCCTTGTAAGGAAGAAGACGGGCAAGGATGCCGGCACCCTCTACGCCATGAAAGTGCTCAAGAAGGCTACTCTCAAAGGTCAGCCATTCCACACACACACACACACACACACACACACAC